TGCTTCAGTTTGTGCCCGTTGCCCCTTGTCCTGTTGCTGGGCACCACTGAAAAGAGTCTGGCCCCATCCTCCTGACACACACCCTGAAGATATTTATAGGCATTTAGAAGGTCCCCTGGCAGTCTTCTCTTCTTCAGGCTGAACAAGCCCGGCTCCCACAACAGGGTGTGAAGAGGAGCTGCACGGCGGGGAATCCCCCCATGCCCTGCTCCACCCCATATCCAGGAGTCTCCCCAGGACAGCTCCCACTGGGTCCCACCAGTGGTCTCCACCTCCAGCTTTGCTCCTGTTGGAGCTCTGGGGGAAACGATGGTGAAACACAGCAAGAAATCCCACAAATAGCTCAGGAGCTGAAGGAAGGTCCTTGCCTCCTGTGCCTACATCAATAGGTGGGTGGGTGGCACTGCAAAGCACTGCATTCACACCCCACGGTCACCCCAGGGGGGACGAGGGTGGTCCCTTCCTCTCCTTCACTCCACGGGCTGAGCAGGGCACTCGGGACACCAACAGATTTCCCCTCCACATCACAAGAGTCATCAAACCCCAAACCTCACCCAGCCTGGAGGTGGCCTCTGACCCCTCCCTGTCCCCCGAGGCAGGACACAGAAAAGAGGTGGACAATGCTCCTTGCCACCGTGGCACTCACCAGCCTGTCTGCCGCGTAGTGGAGAAGGTTCTGGGCATCAGTCCGATAGCTGATATCTTCCCAGTAGGATGACAACACCACCACGGGCTTCACGTTGCCCCAGGGCAGGTAGTAATACTGACAGCCTGGAGGGCACAGCACACTGGTGAGCTCCTGATATTGGGGTGATGGGGGACCCCACTCCTCAGGACCAGAGCAGAGATGAACGGAGGCAGTGCAGCACTTGGCCTTGGGTAGAAGCCCATCTCTGGGGCTTTTTTGGAGCAAGAGAATGGGAATTCAGTTCCCCAAACCCATGTGCAACAGAGCAATGCACACCAAGGTCCAAAGGGTTGTGTGTCAACCTCCACGGCCGCAGCAGCTCCTGCAGAGCAGTGAGGGCCGAAACCAGCAGAACAACCCCAGTGGGGTGAGGACATCTCACACCAGAGTGGGAGCCCCACAGGACCCAGGGAAAGCCCACCCCAAAGCTGCCCACCCAAAAACCACTTCAAGCCAGCACAGAGCTGAAAGTAGTTCTAGCTTCCCCAATCCTCCCCAGTCACCTATTCCCCTTCACAGCATGGTTGAGGTGGGCAAGGACCTCTGGAGGTCATTTGGTCCAACACCCTTGAGCAGGTTGTCCAGGACCACGTCCAGTTGGGTTCTGAACATCTCCAAGGACAGAGACTCCATCCTCCCTGGGCAGCACCCTTCAGCAGGTCATCCAGGACCATGTCCAGTTGGATTCTGAACATCTCCAAGGACAGAGACTCCAAACCCTTCCTGGGCAGCACCCTTGAACAGGTTGTCCAGGACCACGTCCAGTTGGGTTCTGAACATCTCCAAGGACAGAGACTCCACACCCTCCCTGGGCAGCCCATCCCAGTGCTCGGTTGTCCCCGTGTTGCTCACCATCAAAGACGGCCCGGCTGTACTGCGTGGTGGAGGCCAAGGGCAGGCAGGTGTTATCAAATTTGTTGCCATAGTTGCCAATGCTGACCTCAAACTGGATGGCATCATCCACATCTTGGAGCATGGTGGCTGAGTAGAAGGCAGCAAAGAGGGAGTACTTCCGACGGCGCAGGTACTTCTGCAAGAGGCACAGGACCATGTCCACAGAGGAGACACAACCACCACTCTGCTACATGCAGACCCTCCACTACCTCGGCACGTACCAGCCCAGGATGGAAAAGGTTATTGGAGGGAAGAAAAGAGTAAGTTGCAGGAATGGAATTTTGGGTGAGACATTTAGGAAAAAACTGACAAGGAGGAGGCTAGAATTTCCCATTAAAAATGCAGTTTGGACCTAAAGAAACGAGTAAAAGGAGAACATCTGCAATAACGCTCGAACTGGAAATGGGGTAACAGCATCACAGAACGGTTTGGGTGGGAAGGGACCTTCAGAGACCATCTAGCCCAACCCCCCTGCAACGAGCAGGGACATCTTCAGCTGGGTCAGGGTGCTCAGAGCCCTGTCCAACCTGGCCTGGAACGTTTCCAGAGATGGTGCATCGACCACTTCTCTGGGCAGGCTGTGCCAGGGCCTCACCACCCTGATCGTGAAGAACTTCTCCCTTAGATCTCACCTAAATCTGCCCTCTTTCAGCTCAAAGCCATCACCCCTTGTCCCATCACCCCCTGCCCTTGTCACCAGCCCCTCTCCAGCTCTCTCGCAGCCCCTCCAGGCCCTGGCAGCTGCTCTAAGGTCTCCCCTTGCTCTTCTCCCCCCAGCTCTCCCAGCCTTTCCTCCCAGCAGAGGGGTTCCAGCCCTCAGGTCATTGCTGGGGCCTCCTCTGGGTCCTGTTGAAGCAGATCTCCCACCCCTCCATGTTCACCGTGGTCTGCTCTCTACCCTGCAGCAGCTCAGATGGAGTAAGCTGGATGCCTTGGGATGGAAACGCAGCAGGAGACACCCTCCAGCACCTCATCGACCACCCCACCGCCCACAGGACATCACCCAGCTGGGAGCAACACCCATGTCCCTTCCCTAGTGCCCACACGCCATGGCGCTGGAGGGTCCACCCCAGAGCCCACAGGGTCGGATACCCCACGGACACCCCCTTACCTCCACCCGCAGGATGTCCTCCGCGGAGATGTCCTCCACCTTCTGCTCCACGTGCTCCACCAGTTTGGTCTCCAGCTCCACCAGCATCCTGCCGCGATACGCGACTCCCTCGCCCTTGGGGTAGACCAGGGAGAGGCGTCAGGACCCCGGTGCCCCCTCCCCGTAGGCGAGCTCCGCCTTTGCTTTCCATGGGCTCCATCGCAGAGGAGCAAGATGAGGCAAAGTATTTCTGCAAGCGCTTCCAAGGCAGAGAGCATCAGGGCAGGAGAGCAGTGCCAGGAGGTGTTTAGCCAGCGGGAATAGCCAGAAAAACGCAGCGCAGGCTCCTAATCACAAAGCCAGTTTGGGTTAACAGCAGCTTTCTTTTGGCGAGGAGGGGTGGAGGTTTAGTTTGGGTCATGCTGGGAAGAAGCCGACGTCACCTTTCCCAAATTGAGCGTCTCGTAAGGGTCGGGGAAGCCGGTGAACTCCCGGGGGCTGCCGTAGAGGTTGATGTAGCAGGGACCGAAGGTCGGCAGGAACCCGAGCCCGTCATCCGCTGGGGAAAAAGAGCCGTTAGAGGGTCCTGAAGGCACCTCAGGGCCGTGTCCCGCGGGGACGTGTCCCACGGGGCTTCGCTGCAGGACCACACGCATGCGGATGGAGGCCACGGAAATGCTGCAGGCTTTCACCCCCTTTGAGCCCTACGACCACTTTTACCTTCTCACAGGAGAACGACAAGGTGGGTGGTCCTAGTGGACGACAGGCTGACCATGAGCCAGCAGCGTGCCCTGGCTGCCAAGAAGGCCAATGGCACCCTGGGGTGCATGAGGAGGAGTGTGGGCAGCAGGGCGAGGGAGGTTCTCCTCCCCCTCTGCTCTGCCCTGGGGAGGCCCCATCTGCAGTCCTGTGTCCAGTGCTGGTCTCCCCCGTTCAAGAAAGATGAGGAGCTACTGGAGAGAGTCCAGTGCAGGGCTACGAGGATGAGGAGGGGACTGGAGCATCTCTGCTACGAGGAGAGGCTGAGGGAGCTGGGCTTGTTCAGCCTGGAAAAGAGAAGGCTGAGAGGGGACCTTCGAAATGTCCCTAAATATCTGCAGGGTGGGGGTCAGGAGGACGGGGCCAGACTCTTCCCAGTGGTGCCCAGTGACAGGACAAGGGGCAACGGGCACAAACTGAAGCAGAGGAAGCTCCAGCTGAACCCGAGGAAGAACTTCTTCCCTCTGAGGGTGCCGGAGCCCTGGCCCAGGCTGCCC